CACTTAAAGAGGCGTTACATTATAACGTTTACTGAGATGTCCGTACAGAAATACTCTTAAAAATACATGAAAAAATTCAAATATTGTTTATTTCTAAAAAATTTTTCAGATTTTTTTAAGGGTATGTAACGCATTCAACGTACATTTTTTTACAAATATTTAATACATCCCTGTGTTAATTCATACTAATGTTTACATATGTCAAATTTATATGTCAACCCGTAATAAAACAGCTGTCTTACTAATTGATTTCTTTTGCAGCTTACTTTGTACCCTCTTTCATCGCAACTTTTATAGTAAAATGTGCGTGGGTAATAAATTGTCCAATGCAGTTTTGGTGGTACAAATTTTTCAATTTAGAAATTGGTTATTTTAAAGTGATACAGTGTCGGACGAGGAAAAAATAATTTATTTATTCGGCAAAATGTCTGGAGTAACGAAACGTAAACATGTTCTCAGGGAAATGTTGGAAGATGATTACGAACTGCCTAAAGACGGCCAACAAATAGTGCGAATTATTGCTAGTCGAGGTAATAATCTCCACGAAGTTGAAACGGCCGATACGGAAACTGAGAATTTTCTGGGTAAATGGAATAAATTCTAATATCATTTCTGAAGACTTTTCTTTGATCTTTTAATAATGTTTGCAGTAACTATGCCTACAAAATTCAGAAAAAGCGTTTGGGTTAAACGAGGCGATTTCATTCTAGTGGAACCAATCGAAGAGGGCGATAAAGTTAAAGCAGAGATTTGTAAAATCTTAACAGCCGAACATATCAAGGAATACATTAAGGCTGGCATTTGGCCGGAATGCTTTAAGAAGGACGATAACGTTCCGAATGGACGTTACGCAAGTAATTATGTTAAAAAAAGTTGTGATGAAACAGTCGAGCAATTCAAAGAACAATTCAGCGAACCACGTCGTTTATCTCCGAATAGAAATCGTCCAAACCTTTTAGCCGCATTTGAAGATGAAAGTACAAGTTCAGAAGATGACAGCTAACTTAAATGGTTAAATGCTTACCAGTTTACAAAGCAAAATGTGAAGATTAGGTGTTTTTAATATCTACCGTGTAACTCGATTACATTTATTTTTATCATTTTCTTTTTTTTATACGCGTTTATATAGAATTTTTGAACTATAATATAAAATATTAAGTTTTATTTTGAACTAATCGCATTTCGGCTTTAATAATGAATTCATTAGCTAAAAGAAAACCCTCTATTGACAAATAACTTGGAATGGCGAAAAAGGTAGAAGACCAAAGATACAAAGATACGAGGAAGTCGCTAATTACACATTTAAGTACTAAATAAAAAAATATTCAATCATTGCAATCAAAAAAAAAAAGAAAGCACGTAGGGTATTTAAAAGTATTGATCTTTGTGTGATTGCTATTGAGTGAGAACTTTCTTTTCGACAAAACAAAAAAAATGATCAATCATTGTATGTTTAAATTAAATTTTCGAAAATTTTCCTTGCATTTCTTTTGAAAATACTTCTAGCAACTCAATGGCTGTGGGTTCAAATCCCAAGTGCGGCAGAGTTTTTGATAAAGCCGAAAGCCTTAGAATGCTAGTGCTTTAAGACTTTAGTCTTAGAATTTATTCTCTGGCTAAATTTATAATAATAACATAAATATTGTTTAAAATTTGTTTCGCGCCATTTTGAACTGAAATATGCTTCAGACATAAGAAATTCTATTGACTATTTGATGTCTTTTCATCATTATTTTGATATCGCAGAAGCGTAAAACTACCTCACCAAGTTCTAGTATTCCTCGACGGTACGTTTCATCGAGGTGTTGCTACAACTCTAAAGAACAATTGTGTGCAATCAAAGAAAAAATGCCAATTTTCTAATTAGTTTGTAAATCCTCCGGGTGTGTTTCCTTCCTATCAACTTCGATCTACAATTTTTCTTAAATGCTATTTATTTCGGCTACTATTTATCAATTCTACAGCTGCAATATTTTGAATAACTTGTGTTTCTGCACAAAGTGCTTTTGAAAACAAAAAAAGTGATGGAAGTCGGTCGAAGTAAAAATTTGACTTTTCAGGTTCATTTAATTTTTTTTTTTTTCCGAATTTTAATTTTTATTAAAGCAGAGATTTTAGATTATGTAGCAAAATTCCAGAGTGAATTATTTTAATAATTGTATGTAAAATAGTTTACTTACGGCTAACGTACATATCTTTAAACGATTTAGAAAATAAATTACTGAAGGATTTAATGGAGAGAAAATCAAACTTGGAAAGCTTAATACGCCATCGGGCTAATATTAGACAACCATAAAGCTAGATTCGATAAATTTTGCAAAAAATTTTTTTTTATTTTTAGAAATAATGCATTCGTGACATATAATAAAAATGATAGAAAAGTTTTTTTTTTTTTTTTTTGATATAAGCTACAGTCAAACCTCGCTCATTTCGAATATCGATCTGCCTGGCATAACTTGTATCAAATTTTAATCGTAAGTGTACCAGAAATGAACGGACGGATGACCGAACGTGGCTGACTCTTGCCGTCCAAGTTCTCGGAGTGTGTAGACAAAATCCATTCATTCTTGGACGGTGGGTGTGCAAGTGAAATATATATAATGTGTAATTCTTATAGCTTCGTTGTTCTTAATGGATGGAATGTTAAATATATCTCGCTACAAATGCACTCAGGATTCAATCTACGTTGCTAATAACAACCGTAATAGAATGATTTATATCCAAATAGTTCGCTTCCATGTGGGCTGTGATGCGATTGTTCTTGTGAATCCAGAAAATCCGTGACGCAAAACGAGGCCTGGACGTGAGTGCGAAATTGTTGTAAAATCAAAAGAAAAAAAAGAGAATGATATCCGTGTCTCGTCCTCATAGAATGTGATGCCTTGTTAAGAATCACCTTTCAACTCGTGTTGCTCGCAAGTTTCATATACAAATGTGGCGGTCTGCAAGGGAATGTGAATTCGTCAAATGGTGAATGATTTTATTATGTCAGCTACAGCGAAATTTTCAAATAAATTCCTTGGAATGTGCTTTGCAAAAAAGCTACTACTGGATCTAGAGTAAGCCATGTACTGTATAAAAAAAAAAAACTAAAAAATATTGATCATATATAAATTCCCTTCAATCCGAACAATGAAAGGAAAACGCAGTTCATTTAGCGTATTTGTTCCTGGCGGTTGTATATGAAATTCGAAAAAATATTCGTGCCTCTTCATGTATATACATATATATCCCATGTATGTGTGGAGAGAAAGAGGGAGAAAGCGACAGAAAATGTGATTTTAAACTTATTCAAAAATATGAACTTTGATGCAATTTGCTGCTTTTGATCTAGATTTCAAACGGTTGTAAAGGTAATGGTTTTTAGGTTAGCGGTTGTGGGCGCATGTTGCTTTTCGTTTTCATCAATTTTCTCATTGAAGGAGTTCTCCGTATCGGCAGTACTGCGTAGATCTTCACTAACTATACCGCTTTCATTCAAAGATACACGGTTTCTCGACGGACTTTGCGTAGTAGTAGTAGTAGTAGTAGTAGTAGTAGTAGCGGCAATCTCTGCGTTGTCGGTGGTACTGGCGGTGGTGGTGTTGGATATGCTGCTGGCAGATGCTTTTGTCGGTGGCTGTTTATTCTCCACCAACGATAGACTGGAAGGTCGTATTCGGCTAAAAGGAAAATACTCCATTTGCGGAGTATGTACCGCTATAATTTCTGTTTGCGTGGCAGCCGAATCGCAACGTTCAGACCCAGATAACGCTTCCGCTACTCCAGTTGTTAAAAGTCGCTTCACGTTCTCTTGCGGGAGATTGCAAAACAACGTCAAACAATTTAATATATCACGCATTGAACCTTGCAGTTGTTGAACCTGCATTTAAGAAGAAAAAAAAAAAAAAAAACAATTTTTATCTTTAATTTTTCTCCTTATAGTTTGCAAATTTTTTACATGTGCATGTGATTGCCTGTTCGCCCGACTAGTTGCAAATCGGAGAATCAAAAAAAATGAAATAGATCACTTAGATCTTGGCGGGTGACAGTGAGGAGGAAAAACCGGTCTACCGTTAAACCGCATGTCGATATAAAATTTTAGGGCAAAAACAGATTGCGCCCTGAACACTTCTAATAAAACTTTAAATTTTTATTAGAACTCACACTCGCACACGAAGTAAGCAGATGCTAGAAAAGTGCTGTAAATTGACGTAATTCGGCCACAAAACATAATATAGAAAACATGACATAATGCAGGCATAAATATCTTTCGGAACCCTCTAAGAGCCCAGACAATAAGTATATACGTGTTCCTAAGATGTCTGAGGGGGGCTACATTTTCGAAACGAAAAAAGTTTTCAAGATTTTTTGAAACTTTCAAAACTTTCGAGCCATAAAAGATTTCACAAAATTATCGTATATCTTTGGAAGCGTTGGGAGAAACATATTTACGATTAAACCACGTTCTCTCATCAAGCATACCTGACTTGTTAACATACTGCAAGTTTTGGTCAAATCATTAACCACAGCTGTTGAATTGTTTTCTAAATGCAAACTATTGGCGACGTTGGCTTCAGTTGTCGAAGATGCACTCGTGGCACTTGGTTCATTTTGCATTGATGAAACCTTTTTCCATAAAGCATTTATGGCTTGCATTTGAAGTTGTTGTATCTTACGTTCATTTTCCAGCTGAGCTTTTGTCATTTCCATATCTTTAGTAAGCTGCCTAAAATGCACACAACGGCAATGACAAATTCCCGTATGCCTGCAGATCTTTAGATCGCTTTTTAATTAATGACTTACTCAATGTACTCATGGGTGCGCTTTTTCAATAGCTTCTCGGCAATGTCCTTAGTTTTCTTTCGAGTCCGATAGCCACGCCAAATTTTTTGTATAACCACTGCAGATGATTCCGTGTCCGGCGAACCAATGGTCATCTCATCCAAATTTGCGACATTCTCTTTCATTTCCTGACATCTAAAATATATTAACTTATTTCAATTACAAGACAAATAGATTGATATCAATCAGCTCTCCTCTCCCCCTCACCTCTGGGCGGCCTTGTTACGTATCGTCTTCAATTTATCAACATTAATGTGATCGCTGCTGTCATCATCGGAGCTGCCTCCACCCGATTCTTCCTCAGGCGGGACAATGTGCATCGAATTGCTAACTAATTGGCGTTTTTTTAATTGATTATCGATTGAATTTTGTTGTAGATTTGTAGCGTCTACGTTATCAATTTGTTTGGCATTCGTTTGCAGCGCAGAAAATGAACTATTCTTTTTTGGACTTGGCATTGGACTGCGTTCTGGATTGCGTTTCAAATGCGGACTGCGAATCCTGGGCGAATTTAAACGATTATCTATCGAAAAAAATTTTTAAACATTTACAAATAAATATATATCCTGCACATATATGCCGGTAAGCATATATGTGAAGTTTTTTTTTCGTTTCTGAAATATGGATATGCTTATCAACACATTTGTCAAAGTCGAAAATCACAGTAAGCAGCAAAAGCATTATTCACATTTCGAAGCTTACCTTTATTCTTGTTCATTTTTGTTTGTTGTATTTGAGAACTTAAAGCGGAGACCGTCATTCTTTGAGCGACCGCCGTTGGGCAGATATCGGGACTCATTAGGGTTTCGGGAACAGGCACCATTTTGGAGGCAGCAGCTAGTGGACCTCCTGTTGGAGGTGGATTACCACCACAAGATTGATCTGAAAGTAAACATCGCCAGCATTAAGTGAACCCCATTAAAAAAGTTCGCCAAAGCTGCAATTAGCATATTGCATATGCCGAGAATAGAGAAAGAGCAGAGCAGAGTTGCTGTCAATAAATTGCAGCACTTCGAAGGAAATGTCGATAAACTTGTATTCGATTATGTTAAAGTCTGAGGAATTATGTTAAAGTGTGAAATTTTTATTCAATTTCGGTTCCCTTGAATGCTTAGTCAAATCTATTATTTATTAAAATGGGTTAGCGATGAGCGATTCTGGGATCTAGGGACGATGAGTGATATTGTGCCTATGCTACTGGACGAACTGGTTCGTATTCTTGCAGCTTTCGACAAATAAGCATTAAGGAATGAGTGGGATTTTGAAAGTAAGGTCTCCTCTCAAGGTCGGAATTTACCGCTACATATTCGTCGAACGAATTATCGATACCATTTACAAATGGCATATCCTGTGGATCAATTTTCATATTAAAGCACTACAAAAAAAAATGTTGTCGCTACATAAAGACTTTTTTGGTTGTAAAAGTTTATAAGATTATCTGCAAGAGTACCGGAGTACAAATTGGTCAAATAAGAATGACAATAATCATATAATGATGCTGATGCTGAAAAATCAAGCGATGGAAAGGTAATCGAAAATGTTCAGCAACAAAATGCATTTCTATCTATTTTTAACAGAACTGATACGGTGGCTGCTTTAGTTCCTAGCAATTTTTATATGTGTCTCGTAGTTCCTAGCAATTTTTATGTGTGTTTATCTCTTAGAAAATATTGGCATCAAATCTTATGTGTGAATGTTGAGAATGAGTTGGGGAAGTGGATGCTTGCATAAGCGAACGAATTAATTAATTAGTTAAATTAATGAATGAATTATTGAACGAATGAAGTCAACATTATAACTATTAGCATACCGGTGTGGGAGTTCGGTGTTATATTACGCGGTGTAGATTCCTGCGAAGTATTTGACTTGGACGAATTTAATGTAGAACCATCCAAACTTTGAGACATCACGGAATCGTTGTTTTTAATATTCTCAATTAGAGAAGTAGTCATTTGAGTCAAGTGGTTGGCGTTAGTTCCTATTTAAGCAAAATGTATGTATTATGTAAATTACTTGATGCATAGATAATATGTTCTTCATACCTTGTTCACTGGCACTGGCCGTATTGCCGTGATAGCTGTTCGCCATAGAATCCGGCGAGCCCTGACGGCCACTGAGTCTAGAAACTGGGACAATTTGAATTATTTTCAAAAATTCTTATCATTTTGTTCATATGCTTAGGAAGAAGCTAAAAGCTTATTAACCTTAACGTTAACAATAAATTCGCTTAGCTTCAAAGCAAGTCTTTAGACATTAGAAGAATTTTTATGCAATAGCACCACCTGCTTTTCATCCTATTTTTATTCGATCCCCACATTCAGTGAGGATCACCAAAAAAAAAAAAAAATAACTGCTTTACGCGGACAAAGTCCAAGTGTATAATCTGAAGGACGTATTCATTGAAAGTCTAGCTGAATATTCAATTTTTCCGCCGCAAAAGCCGACCTAATCTAGCGGTTGTCCATTTTTTAGTGCAAGAACTCATTGGAGCAAGTATTATAATCGAAATAATTAGGACTTACATCGTGGCGACTGTATACGACTGGCCGGTTTTTTGCGTCCAGAAGACGGCGAATTATTTTGTGAAGCATTTGAATTTTCGGAGATCTCTTCTTGTAATTGACGCTGATGATGTTGTGCTTTACTTAAGATTAGGCGTAATTTACGCTCATTTTCATTCTCTAAAGCTTTTCCAATAAGTGGGCACACCGAACTAAGATATTTCGCCAAAGCAGTTTGTTCACCTAAACGAAAACTGCGACCCCGGCCTTGACTGTAAAGCCACTCCGCTTTCAGACTGATTCGTTAAATGCAAAACAAAAGAAAAAAGTTTTATTAGAGCTTTGAAAGATAACTACGACATATAAAATTTGCAAGACATTTTATTAATAGTTAACCGATAATGCGTTAATTAAATTGTGAAAATCTTTGTACTGTGTTCTAGATAGACATGTGCATACGTAAACTGCGCACCTTTATCTGGGGCCAGATGGAAGCTTTTCAAAAATTTTAATATTCAACTAATTTCGTGTGTTGACTATATTAACCGATTTGTACGGGATACATGCATATCTTTAATCTGATATATTATGCAGCTGACAGAGTTAATCTGGTTCCTTGCCATTTTATTCTTAAGAACCTTTTACTGTGGAAGGAACGCCCTCCGTTGCCGCTGTTTACTGTGTGCATATACCTTAAAGCTAACTTTTTGACTGCGTAAATGGAATTACGTGATCGATAATGTGATAGATATTAACGTCGCAACAATCATCTGGTACGGGCAATGTCCGAGCTTTGCGGTTAAGGATTAAAAAACAATTTGGACTAAACGACTAGAGGGAAATTAATATTACGCAATCATTTAAAACATTGTCGGTTGTGGATAGAAAAACTAAAAATTATATACCTTTCAATAGGATCCACCACAAAGCCATCAATTACTTTCAAACTCATACACCAATTTAAGACAAATGGTCGATGATCGAACCCACTGTATAATCGACAAATATAAAGATTATATTATTATAGATTATAATTAAGTATTCTTAACTTACTCCGTGTTAGCCGTCATGGAAACGCAAGGATTTTCGCTAATCGTTATGCTATTTAAGCAGCATAAATTGGCTAAAGTGCAAATTTCATTTAAATCACTTATATTATTCTTGGCTAGCGTCAGCGTCTCCAAAGATAAAGGCAAATATTTATCGCATTGACGTAAATGGCTTAAACGATTGCCATGCAAATAAAGTTCCTATCGAGAATATAAATATATATATATGTTAATGTTATAAATATGTTAATCTCGTTGCTTATTAGATTGCGATTGTCAAAGAAATGCGTAGCATACCTTTAGGTTTTTTAAAAATGATACATCCGAAATGCTGGTAATGCTGTTTTCTGCCAAATTTAAATATTCCAATTTAAGATTATTATTCAAATGCTCTATGGTTTTAATATTGTTTCCCTCCAAGTTTAAAAATCGCAAATGCAGACAATCTTTTAAGCCTTCAATAGATAAAATGCCATTGAAGGAAAGATTTAATTCACGCAGGCAATGTAAACGGCAAACACCATACATACGCAACAATTGATTTTTGCTTAGCGATAACTGCAAAAAAACGGACCATTTAAGTTCATTGTACCGTGAAACGCTTCATTGGACACACACACAGTCCAAGTATGTACCTTTTCTATTTTTAAATATGAATCGATGTTATCAATTTTTTGTAATTCATTTTCATCCAAAATAAGGACTCGTACATTTTGTGCTTCTTCTTGTTTTGGCACTTTCTTCAATTGCTTGCGGGACAAATTTAAAGTGAGTTTTTCGCATTCCTCTTCACCTAGAGGATTCAATACACAATGATACACTTCAGTTTTTATTAATATGGATAACGATGACATAACGTAAATTGTAAATTGTTGTGACTTTTTATTAAGTACACACTGTCTACGTCTACTACTAAAGAAAAAGGAAGGTAACATAAATTTCTCAAAGTAAGGGTAGCAAGTGACGTCACCGCAATTATTTTGAATATATTAATGGACTATGAGCAGAAAAGACAATGGAATGGATTTTATATAAGGGTAGCGAGTATCAGACATTTAAGCAGAAATTAAAAAAGCATTTTCCTTTTAAGACATACATATACATATTAGATGCATGCATATGTATACATAGAAAGTAAACGGCCATGCAAAGGAATTTTTTTTTTTACATGTACAACAAACAACACACAAACACATATATCTATCTATTGATAATACTAATGGAGTTAGGCGACAACTTAACGAACCGGAATTGTGATTTCCAATTGGGAAAGTTGCAAAAATCCATGCTTAAGCAAATGGTTACTTTTTCATCAACTTACTCATTATTTTAACAAAAACCAACTATTCGATTTCTACTTTACGCAATAAATTACTATAGAAAATGATGTCCGTGATGCAGGTAACTCCTCCAGTCTGTTTGTTATTAACGTTGCAACGTCGATATTTTTGCTATTTTGGGAAAAATCAATTCTTTGCTCCACTACGATTTTTCTTTAATTCTTTTTTTTTTTTATTATTTACAGCCGTTAACTCTTTATTTCTTTAATTCTTAAGCACTTTCATCATATAAAAAATAAAAAGAACAAAATTTTCACTTAATATATTATTTATCGCATTATTTATTTTTAAAATATTTGAGTAAATCAGATCTCCTTATTAATAATGTCCTGTCTCTTCATCTGCAACGACTTTCTTGTTATTTATTGTTTAGAAGAATTTCGTTCTCAGCTTTAGTGTCACCTCTTTTGGATCAAAATTATTTTTAGGAATCTGTAATGAATAGTAGGCTTTATTTAAATTTTTAGAACAGCCCTACAACAATTAGTGGTTAAGTGGTAATAATTTTCAACATCCCTGTATTAAAGCATACTATTTTTGCGCGTTTTAACAGCTGTGTTTTCATTGCAATTCAGTTCAATCTTCATTTGGCCTAAAAGCATAAATTCGGTGAGAATAATAAATTCAGCTTCTGAGCGTAAAATGTAAAATGATTTAATCAAGTGTTTTAATTAGAAATAATAAAAGAAAGAAAGAAGTTTGCTTCAACATATGTTTAAGAATCAGATGTTTCAACTGTCCGATTGCAGATTTGTTTTGTTTCTTCTTCTGCTATTTCACAAGGCAGGAACTGAGGTTTTGTTGCCATCTCTGTATTTCATATCAAATAAAACAGATTTTAAACGCGCGTTGCACGCATCGCAAAAATAAAGAAAAAATGGTTGCATTTGCAGAAAGAACTTGGGTAAACGGTAGTTTGTTGAAGAATTTTATTGGCGAAAATATATCTATATTTTTGCGCGTAAAAGATGAAGTTGGTGCGAATCTCATTGGTATTTCTTCTGACAATCAAACTATCACTGTAAAAGTTTCCGAGCCAAGTGGTGTTTCTGCTGGTGACTGGATTGAAGTGCAGGGTAAAGCATTAAATTCCACTACAGTGCAGTGCAAAGATGTAAATAATACCAACAAATATCTATTAAATACAAAATTTCGAAACATTTTTTCCCGTTTTTTGCATTAAGATTATGTCCTTTGGTGGAGAGCAAATTGACTTCGATAAAGATGCTTGTGACATGATGGCGCATTTTGTAAATAACTGCAAGGATATATTTGCGTACACTTGAACCTCTCTTTAGCATTATCTTTGTATGAAAAATAGAATTATATTTTGTGTAGCGCATATTATCAAAAATGATATTTACAAACATAAATTGCGTATTCATTTAAAAACATACAATTACAAATATGACGACACAAAAATGTATGTATGTATATACATACATTATACGCACAATCCCAACACCAACACCAACAATTAATTAATATTCGGCGCTCTGGACACCATCTGTTTAATTTGATAATACAAATTATGGTGGTCTACTTTTAGGCTAACTTTTAAAATTATTATTATTATTATAAATTTAGCCAGAGAATAAATTCTAAGATAGCTTCAAAAAGAATTTTATTCAACATAACAGAAAAGAAAGGTCCAACTCTGTTAAAATGCAACTTTCGATTGTTTTCGTATACATACGCACAAAAGTTTACTCTGGCGTATGTGCATTTTGTTTTGCAGCAATATAAGGGTTTTTGCAGCTATCTTTATTTCTGCATTTTTGCAAAGCAAACCATCAGGTACATTGCTCGCTCTTTAACAGTCATCATTTACATTTTTATACTTCGAAAAATCAGAGACCTCTAGTATGCGATAGATGAATAAGTAGATGTACAATTGTATTTATCAAAGACATCAATGGCAACATTTGAGAAATGAATAACTTTGCTATCACAAATGTAAGTCGGCTTAAAATTTATGATATCTATTGGAAAATAATGTTATTATTAATGTTAATTAATCGATGATTTGGGCCTCCCAACTGGATCAACTCCTTTTGAATATATTATGGGAGATAATGAGATAATTTTAATATTGTATTTTTAATAGAAGCTCGACATAAATCGCTGAGTAATAGAATTTCGTTAATCGTAAATTGATGCAAAGGTACAGACAGGCTGCAGCGGTTCTATACAACCGTTCGCGCAAAAGCTAAATCTTTAGAAGCTAATACCGACTAATGTTTCATTTGTTGAAGGGAGAACGCGGTCTTAGTACTAAGCTAGACATAGAAATGAACTATACTATGTGTGTGGATATTTTGCTCATGATGTTTATGAGAAGTTGGGCTTGGTATGGCAACAACACATAGGAGAATAATAATTTAGTCTTTGAAAACAAGATTCATTTTGATAAATTTGCACCCCGTCCGTTCACGTTCACATTTCATAAATAGACTGGCTTTAGTAGAAAACAAGATGTAATCGTTGAAAATAATTAAATAAGTGACGTAGCGTATCTAATGATCAGCCTTGCCCGACTACGCGACTGATGGCTGCGGATAATATTCCAAAACTAGTTACAATTTGACAATAAGCAAAAACTATAAAGCCTGTCGTTGAACTGTTATAATTAAAAATATAATTTAGAAGTCTTCAAGAGCACAGTAAGTACTACGTTCTATTGACAGGTAATAATCGACCCACGGGCAAGCGCAACTATCCCGATATCAATCATCGTCTGTCTCAATTGCAATCGTTTCACACTTCTGTAGCCCGGACTCTACATTTTCGCTATTTACCTGAAACTGATTTATTACATCGTTTACAAGCTTTATGTGCCGCTCATCAGGAATTCACTATGCCTTCTAAACGCTATGAGACAGCCTCTGCCTTGGGAGAGCGTGCTTCTACACACTTTGATGATCGCCTGCCGAGCAATACTCACTATCATCCACAACATTGTACCACTAACGTCAAATTCAACAACTGTACGCGATCCTCGGGGCTATTACTGAGGTATGGGAAGAAATGCGACTTTATAAACTAATTTAAATCCAAAAAATTGCTGTCAAAGTAAATGAGTTACACAAAGTATCTATGTTTTATTATACCTCTCTTTAATATGTAACACACATCGCTTTTGTGAGCCTAACCTTGAATAATGCGAAGAATTATGTAAGAATAGAAGGCTAAAGGTAAGACCCATTTATCAGGACACTATAATCCGAATTCTTTTTATGAACAAATAATCCTGAAAAATCATGTTTTTTTTTTTTTCGGTAGTGACCGAATCGTTGGTTTAATAAAGACAACAATGTGAAGGAGCTATGATACATTTTTTTATAAACCATGTAAAGGAGAAAAACCAGCTAACAGTTTTTAAAATGAAAACAATCAAAGTTATTTTTACAAGGGCACTAAGAACGTGGAGCAAATCACAAATAAACTGAAAAATTGCTAAATAAATCGAAAGATATTTAAAACAAATTAAAAAAGAGATAAAAAAAAGTAAAATACCAGCCAGACCAACCTTTTTAAATGGACTAAATCCGCCTGAGTGGCCGAGTAGGCAAGAGTCTCGACTAGCAACTCAATAGTCGTGGGTTCAAACCTCAAGTGCGGTAGAGTTTTCTCATAAAAGCCGATAGCCCTAGATGCTAGTGCTTTAAGACTTTAGTCTTACAATTTATTCTCTGGCTAAGTTTATAATAATAATAATAATAATAATAATAAAAAAATTACACAAATCAAAAAGAAAAAAAAGCTTAAAAAGTTTTTTATTGTATTAAAATTTGTTATTGTGCTAAATAAGTTAAGCCATTAACATGAAGTACATTTAATTCATGCGCTTGTAATTGTATATATTTGATGTATTGACAAAGAGACCCGTCTGAAATTCACATAGTTTCACTGCAAATTTCGTTGAAGTGTCCTTAGTTCCTAAGCTATTTTGTACTACGAATAATTATTAAATTAAGAAAAGAGTTCTTTGATAAAAATGACAAACATGTTCCGTCATATTAATATGAAAATTTATCATTTCACTTATATGACATTCGCCGTTGTTTCCTTTTCACATAAACATCCATATACATATGCGGTACTATGTACTATATCATATGCACATATAACAAAATATATACAGATATGTATATATGTATGTATGTATGTAATGTAAAGAGTAGAGGCAAACGTATTTTTTGTAAGCTAAAATTTTTAAATTTTCGCTTTCGAACACATCAGGAGGTTGATGTGTGGAGCGGGGAGGGAAGGGAATTAAAAAGGATGGCTTGTAAGTGTTTACAATTTTGGATTGGTGGTCTTATGTTGACTTCATCATGACTTAAATAGTGCGCCGGCGCGGATGAGCTTACGTCTCGGCAGAGTAAAGTTAAAAAAAAAATTGCATTTGCCATTCTTAAGTTAGTTAACTGTGCCACTTTTTTTTACCATTACCTTTACGCTTAAGCGTGACATATACGATAACTATATGAATAAGAATATAAACACAAACAGATATCTACTGAACATAAATCTCCGAAGCATTTTTTCCATTTTGCGTTTGGCGAAAGTCCGTTTGGTGTTTTATCTTTGTATGGAAAACAAATTTATATTTTTGTAGAGTGCATATTCCCAAAATACAATTTTGAAACGTAAATTGTGTATTCATTTAAAAAAAAAAAAAAAATATATATATATATATATATATAAGTGTAAATGTAAGGATTTTTGTAACCGGTCTAATCCTTCTGCTTGAAAATTGTGGCTTTGTAGACTTCGTTAACCTTGTGCGGTAGCTTTTCCAAGTCTTCCATTAAGGACATTTCCTCTTTTAGATTATTAAGATACATGCGCTGCAGTTTACGTATCATTGGATTAATTACCTTTGAATTTACTACGTCGTCTACTGAAATAGTCAAGGTATCGCCGTTACGACAATCGAGAAAATCGCCTTTGCCAATTTCTGTCATTACATCTTTTTGACTTTGACGTGACAACATCTTATCGCTGCAGTGTTTGCAATGAGCTGCGGGCATATCATTATCTTTAGATTCATATCGATGTTTACCGTCGGGACTGCCGTCGTCACTGCGGCACATTTGCTTTAGGGTTTCATCGATTACCTCGTGAAGTTTACATTTGGATTTCACGATTTTCCGCAATTCCTGCGAGCTTTTTCGACTGACCACAGTCTTGGAAGTTTTTTGAGATTTAACGCTTTCATCTGAACCGCAACATACACCGCCGAAATTTGAATCAGTTTCAAAAAGATATCTATCTGGACAATCGTCCGGTATGTATTTATTGTGGATAGGCGAGCACGGATTCATGGGAGTTGCTGGTGCTGGTGCCTTAGGATTACAATGCAATTGACGTAAGGCGTAATCGCTGCTCTTCTGACGATACGAATCCGAACTTATTTGCGATGAAAATGCCGGATCACAAAGCATTCTTTCAGCATCACCGCCGCTTGGCCTTGGTTGCGGTGTTTGTTTCTGTTTCGACATCTCGTATTCATGCATTTTCTGTTGGCCGCGTAAAGCTTGTTCTTTAATATATTGGGCTGGAGTGTCCTGTAGGGCACCTTGACAATATTTCTGTTTGCGAAAAAATGTTTGAATTGTCAATTAAGTTAACGTTGGCCTTCAATTTACCTGCAATTTTGAATTTTTCACCTGACCCATAAAATGGTTCCGTAAGCCGTGGCGATAGTGTTCCTCATCTAACATTCTGCCAAGTGATTGCATTTTTTAGTTTTCTTAGAGGGGGCAATTAATTACGTTTACCGCAAACAAATAAAAATATATATAAAAAATATGTTTGCTTTTGTTTTTCCTTTTTAAACAATATAAAAAAAATTGATTTTTATATCTCAGCGCTTTACTGATAAAAATTTTTATTCAAAAGCTTTTGCCAAGTAATTCACATTCCGTAAGAGTGAACAAATATTTGCGAAACAATGCAAACTAATAGTAAAAGGTGATCTTCGCTCATCTAAATCCTAAATCTTTCATAGCCAATCATCAAAGAACTAGTGACGGTCAAGTTATCTGGAACGTAATCATTATTTCATGCATATCGGATTGGAAGGAGGAAAGGTTCGCGAAGATTAGATTCTGCCTTTTGAACGGTTTTTAAATTCGCCATCAAAGTCCAAGGGTTGCTGAAATATCCAACTGAGTGTAAATATGCATACACAGATTCAGCTAAGACATATAAGAAGATTTATTAATGACCGTCCGTCCGCCTGTAAAAAGATTCGTAGTTGAGGAGATTGAGAAGTTGAAGAGAAGTTGAAATTAGAAAATAGAAAACTTCTCGTGTGCCTTACAACTTTTTTACAGTAGATCTCTCAACGGTGGTATAACCGATAACAAGGCTACCTAGTAGTTTAACATGGCAAGAGTCTTGATAGAAAATTTACTTTAGATGATAGATATCCAACAAATCATTCTGAGGCGCAGATAAGTTTCTTACAACATTCCAAGGCATGTCGGTATGAGAGAGAGAGAGAGAGAGAGAGAGAGAGAGAGAGAGAGAGAGCGAACACTCGCTATACAAAAATATATACTTCAATAAGAGAACAAGTAAAAACAGTATAGGCATTACGGGCCAAATACTCTACGCCAGTTCGTTTTCTGTTACTGTTATTCAGTTAATGACTTTTCAAAATAAGTCGTGGAAGTGGTCCGATTCGAACCATTTTCTAGAGTTGGTGTGTCAAATTGCATCAAAATATCTCAAAAGCAAAAATGCATTGTCAGACATCAGATGAATGGACGGACGGACAATCTTAAGATAACTCTATCTCATGTCCTTCTAAGTGTTTACTGTTTTAACATGTCCTGTACTACAAGTAGCCCTGGGCCGACACTTACTGTGATCGCAATGTTAAGCATAAAGCATCGTTTCCCGGAGCTGCTCGGTATTAAAACAAGAGTGTCGCGCATTTTCTTCTTTTTTTTTTTTAACAATTTATTCAATTAACATAATTTATATTTACAGGGTAGCATTTTCCATGTAATTCTCAAATGAACGGGAAATTTGCGAATGGTCCGGACCGAGTTCAGTATCAGCCATTATCGCTAAACGATATTTATCGCCGAAACGATGAATATTTAACGATAAGCCTGCAAATAATGATAAATGAATACAAAATAATTCGCATATTTTCGCATATTTTGCACTTACACGTCTTCGATTGAGGCGGTCTGAATAGTAAAACGTCATCAACTTGTTGACCCCAAAGTGTTTGAAATTCCGAATTTTCCCCATGTATTTTGGTTATAGTGACGGGAAAATTAAAAGAAAAATAATTAATACAGATTTTCGTTAAAACCCGTGGCAGTAACGCAGTAATCATGTCATGTTTCGTTTGTCCCATCGAAGCTAAATAGATCATAACTTGCTTAGATCTGATCTTTTCTATTATGGAATGAATTTGTTGCACATGTTTGCGATCGGGAATTTTTAAAGGTAATTGAAGGAAAACAACGCCACCTATGTTATCAGCTTTATCACCCAATCTCTCGGTAAAGTAGCCTTTAGCTATAGTACGACAAGTAGTATTCAATGTTTGTGGAACCGGTGCAGAATCCGCATAAGTTCTAAAGTAATCGTAAATGGCGCCGGCAACGCAAGCTAAAGTGAAATCCGATTCCCTTAAATCTTTATTAAAGGATACGCGTTGCCTTAAACGCTGAGCGTCGATTGACTTTGAAAAGGAGACAATTTTGCGACCGGAATAAGATTTCATATGCAATATATTTGGTTCACGTGTTGTGTATTGGAATAATTCTTCATAGATATTAACTGGAGCCTTGAATAATTCCCAACAAATTTTTATAAATTCAATTTGAGCGTAAAGTACCAATGGCACGTATATGGACAGTCGGCCGCAATAAGATGAAGTGAGTGTAGTTTGGCCTTTAAAGATGAGTTCGCGCAATGCAAATAATTCACAATAGATATGATACGGTATTAAAATGATGCCATTAATATTAATTTGCACAATGATCGTGGCCAAGGTGGTAACTACATTCACGGGATGGCATGATGTGAGTAACGCGTCTTTAGCAATTTTCCAAGACAAATTGCGACGCTTCATCTCTTGCATTAGCAGCTGATTGAATGTTAATGTATTCGATCGATACTTTAGATATTGGAAAGATCTTCTCTTCGCGATCTTTCTCAATTTCCACCAACTAATTAACGCTTGTATCAGTATAAAGAGTAAAAGGGATAGCAATTGAGATAAATAAGTTACTTTGAGACGATTGCAGTCATCGGGCGTTTCTAACGATTCAAAATTGTAGTTAAATTTACGCCACATATTGACAATCAATTGTCCGATATGTCTTAAAAGATTTTCTATGTGCTGGGGCTTGCGTACAAAGTAAGCCAAATTTTGATTACGTGAATTACGACGGCATGTGTCACCGAACTCCACAACAAGCTGGTCCGAGTTGTCCTCCAACATTAACATCTCACTTATATGTAAATCATCTTCTTCAGCTATAATCAAATGATGAATTTTTACCAGAATATAGTAGTGGTCGTTCTGGAAAATTTTTAGAGATGTTTATCAAAAATTTCAATTAGAAACAAGTAAGGACTTTATAATCCGGCAAGGCCGACCATTAGACCCTACACCACTTCGACTAATACAGTCATTCACTCAAAAAATTACACATTATGGCGTTTTAAAGCCCGCATATTGGTGATTGCCCAAAAGGTCACATGACTTGATCCATACTTACTTCCTAAAAATTGTATTATTTTTTAACGTTCATCATAAGAAAAGAGAAGTTAGACTTCCTCTCGATACGAGGGCTGGCTGTTCATGATAACCCCTATGTACGATGAAGCCTTAGAAAGTAGACATCCTGCATTCCAATTCCCTAGCGTTAATGTTTTTGCTCAGTTGCAACTATGCACGAATTTTCATCATAATATATATTTAAAACTAAGCCTTTCTCTGGAGGATCGGTTTAAATTTGGTCCACTTAACTTTTGCTTTCATCACAAAACATTAACAGTTAGGCGTTTTTGGCATAAGATTTCTTATCGTGGTATCCAAAATATACACCTATGGGGTCCAAAGTTGGTAAGGTTGATTTCTTTGCTAATTTACTGTTGTCAACCAACTTTCATCATCAAATATTAAAGATTAGATCTTTTTGCCAGTTTTCATAAAAACGTTTAAGTCAAAAGGTTCAAAAAATGACTCCACCCGATCCAACGTTTTCACATCAATTTAGAATGCAGATATACTGTCACTGGGCGAATTTTTGTCGTGAAATTCGCAAAATTACATAATTTGTTCTTGTAATGACTTATTAAAATAAGTCGTTATATGGGAAGTGGGCGAAAAAGTGGTCTGATCCGAACAACTCAAGCTATTGGATAGTGTCTCATTCCAAAAAGTTGAATTTAAACTTAAATCAGTTTAAATCTCTGCAATCCTAACCTACTTAGTTAAAGTATTTCAGGCACTCGTTAGTTTTTTTTGAACAATTACCTCAACGTTTTCACTCGAACCTTCGGCTTCTCTCGTTGATGTGGACGCCCTCAATGACGTGGGTATTACAATAACTTGCCATTGTGGAAGATCGGAAGGTATATATTTTCTCGCCAAATCACTAACAAACTCTTGAATATTACCATCATTCACCGAACGTCCGCGATAGACTTCCGTATTCAGTAAGATGTGATTGTTCACATTGAAGGAACTGCAAGCAACAAGATTCTTATGATATAAAAATTGATTGGAAAATTTTCTCTTTTTGCATATTATATGCAATCAGACCTGCTATCCTTCACCCAAGCGTAGTGTCCCCAGCACGTGACCAATTGTTGCCGCAATTTCGGAAATTTCAAATATCCCGCTTTATCTCGAGCGTTTGTCAGATATTGTTCGTAGAACTGCTTAATCTTGTCAAAATCGCACGGGCCCCGTATTTGCAAGAGGAAGTGAAATATGCCAGCGTTCCGAGGCGTATCGATCAGAGTGCGTATTTTCTTCGATTGTGAAATTAGTAAATTCGGATATTTAGTTGAGAGCACATAATAGACCAGCTGATTACTATAGTGGGCAGCTGTACGTGCGAAATGAAAATTCAATTTATTTTGGTAATGTATGAGTTTAAAATTTTGGAACTAAGTATACCTAAGATTTAGCTTAGCTTAGTGTGCAGTGGAATCGATGTTCCTTTACATCTTTAAAGCTTTCTCTAGAATATTCAGCTTTGTTCTAAATTTGTCCCTTCTATTCCACTGAAGTCAGATTCAAAAAAAAATTAAAAAGGCTCAACGCCCCTGACTATATTAAACACAGGTACTTTACTAAGCTTCTAAAATAATAAGTGCTGTAATAAAAGATCTATTTTAACATCTTCCGGATGTTACGTACACCCCCATGAACTGAACATACTGCAAACAACAAGTAGTGTATGGCATAAAAAGGCATCGAAAAGCTAGAGACAACTTGGCATTCTTGCAGGAGAGCATCTTCATGAATAAAGTTGAGTTTTGTCGAAGATGACAAGTAAAGCCACTATAGTGGGTATCAGCCAATACCCTACACTACCGTATAGTTGTTCATATCACGACTTTACAAATTAAGTTGCTGTATGAGATGTAGTCGGAAAACTGCTTCGATCCGAATTAGTTTCAATAGCATTCATCCTTGTGCCTATACACGCTAGTACGGAAGTACCAACGTTCATCAAAGGATCTTAAAAGCTTAAATCGAATCCATGAAAGATTGTGTGATTTCAATCCAAGTTAATTTATTCTTACACCGTAGAATACCAGAACACCAAAATCTGATTTTTCTAACCTAGCCTTGGAAGTTATGGACTTATGGTCTTGGCTATTATGTGGCACTAGGAGAGCGTTTACGCAAAGCGTTGCCTTTTTGTTTCAATGCGAAAAAATGTTCTTTTGAATCGTGGCGGATGGTGGAAAACCGCCAACACAGAACAATATGTCAAATAGTTAAGATGAACCGTTAACGTTAACGTCAAAGGCGAATATTTGTGGCGTTAAGCTCAGCCCCGATGTTTATTGGCTTCAGGAGGAACTATTAAAATTAACGTGGAAAAACTTCACTGTATTAAGCTTACGCTCAGCCCCGAATCATCATCATCGGAGAATTTGGTCGAAAGTCATCAAATACTTAAGGGCTGATTCAGGTGATTGATAGGGTAAGGAGAGTATAAGCTGCAATGTGCTATCCCGTCTACATTGCTCTCATTACTATTCAATTTTGTTCAATCGATGATTGATTGTTTGAACAACGCTCACACTCTTATGCAGGCACCAAGAAAATGACTCAGTTGACGACTAGCTTTAAAGAAGAAATTACTCTTGCGACAGGGAATTCATATGTTGTTGAAGGGTGGAAAAACTAGCGGGTAACGATGGACAATACTTTCTATAATTTGGCCACAAGAAGTTTTATAAACAAACCTTCAATTTTGAAAATTCCACTTGGAACTTATCCTCATTCGCTAGCTTTTCCATTTTCTTTCAGTCGCTAACTTCAGTTACCGTAGCTGTCAAATAGCATTCTTTCCGACCTACTCCAAACCATTTGAAATTGTGGCATTAGCTTCGGCATTTTCTCAACTAACTCTTACTCGAGAAGGTCCGATGGTTATTTGACAATTTTTCAAATCGAACGGAGAATTTGTTATCATTTGTCCAGATCGGTATAAAAATCGTTTATTCAAGCATGCCATGCAACCCGATGTAATGCAGTTAACAAGAACCGCGCATTTGAGAGACTCTGACTTAGCAGATATGCATGAGCAAAATATGCCGCAGCTTATCACAAGAATAAAAGAAAAGAAAAAAAAAAAAAAAAAAAACAAACTGTGAGTAATATTTGGTCAAAGATCGTTTTTATATGTATATATGTTTTTAAAAGTCAATAGCGAGAAGTTAACTGTTTATCGTTGGCAAGCGATTGGGATAAGTGATTAGGCATAAGCGCTTTTTAAAATATTCATGCCCTACCTATGCATAATCAATCCTATATGAAACGTATGTATATATACGCTTAGGCAGGTGAAGTTTTATGTTACATCTATACATATATCTATAGATATATATCTATATATATATATATATATATATTTGGTTTTCCCTTACCCACAAACGACAATATAATAATTGGCAGTAGCATGCAAGCTATTAGGAAACATAAGACCGTTTTCAGTAAATATTTCAATTTATTAAATATTCTGAAAAATGAAAATTATTTTATTTTGCTTTTCTTGCTTTCACTGTAAAACTTCAAACACACGCATACTTTTCCATTGTTGTTGTTTTTTTTTTTTTGTATTTTATAAATATATACATATAAATATATATATATATATGTATATTTTTTGCTTGCTTGCTTGGTTTTTAAATCTAACTTTGAATTTTTTTCACTTTTCTTCCGTTTTGTTTGTTTACCAAGCGAGAAAATACGTTAAATTCAAAGTTAAAGATTTATTTTGCAAAATTGAGACGATTTCAAATGCAAGTACTAGTCGTATCATGTTCTCTGCTCAACTGAGTTCTAATTTGCAATAATATTTATTATGCATGCATATCGCTGCTTGGGAGACGTCGTTTCTTATCAGCTTTCTGATTGCAATTAACAGAACATTTGTCTATTAAATAATAAAAAGGCAGCCCAAGAAAGTTGTCTGTTTAGAACAACTTTGCTTTCCGCATCATTTGCAACATTCTACTATATGATGTATGTGTAGATATGTTCATGTATCGATAAATGGCGGTTTTCTGATCTAAGCAGCGAAATTGAAGGTTTTTGCCTTTTGCAAGTTTATATTTATACGTTTCCGAGAATCAACTAAACTATAGAAATTAACTCGAGAGTGTGTTCTTTCTCAACTTTTCAGACCTAAATGTAAAGGCTCCAGGCAGAAAAAATAGCAGACAGAAAGGGAGTCAAATTATACTTACATCTATATATATATATATTTACATATATATGTGTGTGTAGAGTCATGTAAGTGTTTTTCTCTAGTTGTAATGCAAGCGATTTTTTGATCCAGTAGGCCTTGACGTGCGAGAAGGTCTCGCGACAAAACAATTGCACTGTTACGGATCTGAGGTTTGCTGGAAATCAACTAGTTGGTGCTGTGACGATGGGTGTCGCTTTAATCTAAAGGCCGCTTTTAATTCTCACTATAAACCGGTAATCAAGTTAAGTTCTAGAGACATGCTGATTCTCAAACTATGGATATATATGTTAGATATCAATCCATACTGAAGTTAGAAAGATATTTGTAGTCTTTCTTCCCGGTTTCACTTGTATTAACTAGAACAGTGGAGCGCAGTGGAGCGTTATATAATATATTACGTGAAAGCTGAAATCTCTCTCTGAATACTTTTACTAGATTTCACTTCTGGATATACGCGTAAAGGGGTCAAGGGCATGACAAGGAGGAATGTCGTAAGCGACATTGTGCAGCAAAACTCGTTTGGCTAATCTCGCTGCAAAGATTTTTTGATCTTGATGATATACTCCCCTTCGCTTGGACACTTATTAAGGACGTCGATCAGATACTCTCGACGGCTACAATTTTCGAATGTATTTTTGATATTAAGAGCTTCGATAGATGAAGAAATTTCTGCATAGAACTAACGTATGATGAGATTCCTGACTTGTTGCTAAGTGTTGCAGGTGGAGTGACAAAAGCGCTATTTCCTCGCTCCTTGGTAGTGTCGTGAACGAGTAAATAAACTATGTTCTCCTTAGGGGGCAATCTTAAGCATTTCTAGTGTATGATTAGCGTAAAAGTCAGATCGGTATCTACGAAAGTTCGCTTATTATTGATTAAAAAAACCGACAAATTTTTTTCGATACAATTTCTTTGATTATTGGACGTGTGCTGGACGAGTTTTATAAATTACATCTGCACGTTTTTGATTACAATTTCGCGGCATGAAGAAGAGATAGACTCATAGATTGAGTGTGCGGGACGGACTTGCCGCGACGTTTATTACAGTGACCAACAATTATAATATGAAGCACCAGTGATGCAAGTAAAGTAAGCTCTGAGCGACTCACTTCTACTATATGAACTCACTGATAATCCTTTTCTGAGTTGATTCAGAATTAATCCCTGAATGGAAGTAAACCTGCTCTTCCACTTGCTTCTTTGGCGAATTAATCTCCGAATCGATGCAAGTCTGTTTTTTTTACTTGTTTTCTTGCATTCAGAATTAAAGGCTGCCTTTTCATTTATTCTTTGGCGCCCTTCCATCCATTTTTGTGTAGAGCCTACGAGTCGGGATATTCGAGTCATTTTGATGAAATTTGACAGACAACTAACGTTTTGGTCCAAAGTCGAACTCTATGAAAAATGGACTGGATCGCACAATGTTTCTGCTATCATATTACGTCGTGCTCTGGAAAACTCCTCAGGAAATAGTTTAGGGTATTGAATGATCGCAGTTTCCGGGGTTATAAAGTGGGCCATAGAAATCTTGATGATTATTAAAAGAAAATGTTCGTTTTCTTTGTCTTCATTGATAGATCTTGATCAGACCAAATATATTATTCGAGCACAATCGAATTTCAACAAATACTCTAAGGGGATAAAATACTTCTTCTTATTCACATAGCCTGTTTAATCGATCGTCAACGAAAATTTTGAGTTCTTCGCCCCCCCGCCGCTCACCAATAGAGTTCTTTCTTAATCCTAAAACTATGCTAATGGCAACCACAAATTTTAGAGGAAGAGATTCACCTGTGCTGCAATGCGCATGGGCTAAGGAAAATCTCATTGCACTTGGGAGAGTAAAAATTTTCTCTAAGCATAAAAAAAAAGTTGTAAGCATATTATGCATGCAATAAATATCCTGATGAGTATAGTGGCTGCTGGCTGTTCGTGCGTTCGGTTGTTTGAAGAATTGGTACGCTGCGTTGAATTGCTGCTGATATTTCTTGTTTTTTTGGAAGTTTTGTTTATCTATTTAAATAAATATTTTTTTTTTTTTTCATTTAAATGAAAACGAAATAAAAAATAACAGTGCATCAGAATTACACACACTTTTAGATTAAATAATAATAATAAGAAGAAAAATACTAATACTAGAAATGAAAATATATCAAGTTTAAAAATTGGTTCGAAAACAATAGAAAATCCTTACAGCGTTTCCCTAGAAGTTTTCATTGTGTAAATGAACGGTGAGAAAAAAAAAAAAAAAATGAAAAGAGAATTATATCCATACATATAGGTGTATGTGCATAAACGAGAAACGAGAAAAAGTGATACAAATGCGGAAGTCGTGTGTTCGTATGCCTGTACGCCTTTAAAAGATAAAAAAAAAAAAAGAAGAAAATTAAGAAGAAAAAAAACATCCTCCAGCCCGTGTGCTCATTTGTTATAGTTGGGTAGTGCTCGTGGGAGTTCAAAATATTGTATAATAATAAGTATACCTGCAGAGTTATATACAAATCTTTATGCATTTCATCTACTACTACTACCACTACTACTACTACTACTACTACTGCTACTACTACTCCTAATGGATGTCTATCAATTCGTTATAAAATTAAAATTGGATTAAAATTATAACGATTATGATGACGCGACGACGCGTAACGAAATCCGACAAAATTTATATTCAAACCAAACAAGTGAAAATGTGCTTTTAATTAGTCGCCTGGCATTAGGCGATCGACTACCATTTCTTGGAAATTGTTATTGAAATAATAAAAAAAAAGTAAATAAATAAATTAGAGTGTTTTAGAGTGAAGAAGAAGAATCTGTTGTGTTGTGAGTCTAGAAAAGAAAAAAAACCATTTCATTAAATCGTACAAACTTTTAAAAAAAAACAATATAATATTAATATTGTATTCCATGCTTACATACGTACATACGCACACACACGTATGCATACACACGTGCTCAGCTAGTGCTAGCACGTAATTGTAGGATGAGTGTAATAATAAAAATAGAAAAAGTGTTACACTTGACGTATCACTGCTCCTAAAAATCTACTACAAAAAAAAGAAAAAATAAAAAAAAATAAAAAAAATAAAAAGAAAAAATAAGAAAGCCTTACACCATAATTACACATATACAAACTTACGCACAAAAGAGAAAGAACCTACTTACCCAACAAACAAGCTTGCAGTCGGTTTAGGACTGGCAGTAAGTCAAATCAAGCCAATCATCCGTTAGAGAGGCGGCGGACGAATCGGTCAAAAGCATACAAGCAGTTAATAAAGCAAACTGTTTGTGCGTGTGTTTGTATGTGTACGTTTATGCATATGTGTGTGTGTGTGTGTGTGTGTGTGTATGTATGTATTTGTGTATAGTTCGTATATGCATGTATGTATGCGTGCATACAAACTGAAATAAATGTGAATGAAATGATATAAAACGCTTTTCATTCTTCATCTACCACCCACATGCACATCGATAAGAACGCTTACAAAAACAATGTCGGTACGTTGCTGCTGTCGCTGCTGGTGTTATTGTAATAGTAGACTCTGCTGCAGAGAGCAGTATTGGTGACGGTTGCGTTGTTGGTGATGTTTACCAACGCCATACTACAACAGTAAAAGCGAACAAATTCACATGACAGCCGTTCGAGCCAAACGACAAGATTCTATAGCGATTCCACATACGTGTGCATGTTTTGTACTAAACATCTAAATATATATATATATATATATATATGTATATATATGCAGTTTTATATTCATGTCAAACATATGAAAAGCCAATTTCAGAAAGTACATATAGCAGCAACAACAAAACCAACAAAAACAACAACAAGAACAACAACAACAACAATAAGTTTTACTTCTCTGCCAAAAACAATGCTCTGAATGTATCGTGACAACGAATATAAGGAAAGGAAATATAGCCAACGCTTTTAGCGGAATATAAACCAGAAAGCAGAAAAAAAGCCACATATATATACACACACACACATATATATACCTATAAAAGGTGGGTCAAGTGTAAATTTTAATAGATATACCACGAGAGAGAACACATGGCGCATTGTGTTAAAAAAAATTGAAAATAGAACAAGAGAGAGAGAAAGAGAGAGTGTGTATGTGTATGCGATTGTGTTACATATGTAACACGTAAGCTTAGGTCGAAATTTTTGCACTCACCCACCAGTAATTGATTACATATATATGAAATAAAAGCAGGCTTTCGTTACACCTCCGCTTATCGCTTTCGTTGATCTTACATTTATTGGTTAAGTTGAAAGTTTCCGTCTTGGTAATAAGATAACATATAAAATTACTCTTTTTATTTAAATATTGAAAACACTTTCACCTTTACGTTCAATTACTTTAATTAAGTTTAAGTAGAGCTCATATGTTTCTACAACAGATCGCTTGCCTTTGATTGTAAGCATTCGACCACTAGGTGTTCATTTGATATTGAGTAAATTCATGTAGAATGCATAAGAAATGCGCATCGATTTATCATCAAAACAGACTAAGTCGAAAGTTCAAACCGATGAATAAGAGTGTAGTAAGTACCTCCATGAAAACTTTTACACCCTTTTAGTCATTATGACAGCACTTGGTAAAGATAATTAAGATTTGTGATATTTTATCAAGAATAAATCCTTTAAGAAGCCCCAAGAACTCTTGAGCAAATAACATCTTGTGGGATAAATGCCATTTTATGTTGAAATTCTGCCTCCAATGATTTCTGAAAAGTGTGTGCATTTCCTTCCCTACTTACACGAAAGCGATTAAGAAATTCTTATTTGAATACATAAAGAGTTTATGCTTGATAACAGTTTTTAATAAAAGTTGTTTTGCTTACTTGAGATTACTCTCGGGTGATACCCTGAAAACAAAAAACTTAAAATTTCGCCATCGGTAATATAATGATTAACATTCGGATACTTTACTGTTACTCTTATACTGGGGAATAAACAATGCATGCATGGGGAGGTGACCGGGGTAATTATAGTGTTTAGGTGATTCCTTTCTGGACTTCGATGAAGTGAAAAGGCATACGCCGACCCATTATCGTTATCCATTTAATACATGGGCGCATTTGTACAAAAATCTTATTAATTTTCATTTGGAAGCTACTTGAGCTATTGAGCCGTTCATTAACATGTAGCGCAATAGCGACAGTCAAAACGTGCTTTGCACCTTTCTAACGATCTTTCAGATATTGACGCTTAAAGGATCTCGAATATGAACTGAAGCTTACTTGTAATGCTTACCTTCTTACCAGCCGACGGATTAGTGATATGGAAATAGAGTAATCTAAGAAATTTAAAATTCTTGGTCTAAGGCATCCTTGTCGTGTCGGGTTTAGTTTTTTTTCAACAATTGTCATTATTTTTATAATTTTTATGTTGTTTTTATGTTGGTACCCTATACCACTTGTGATGCCTGGTACATCAAATTTGTGCGGGCCCACTCTTTCTTTTATACTTTTAATTATACAGAATCAGTTTAATCAGAATCAATCCAAGTTTGTCAGTCCATCTATACCTTTCTGATAGCAGTTTTTCCTATATAATATCTTGATGAAGCTTGGTACACCGAGCTATTTTGGTGCAAGCACGCACTTCATTGAAAATGATCCGGATCAGTCCACTTGTTCGAACACTTCCCATATAACATAGAAAGCTGAAACGGTATAATTTTGTTCTAATGCATCTTACCACGCTTTTCAGCTCACTACGAATAAACTGAAAATTTGAATTAAAATTTTATCCGCCTGAGCGACTGAGTTGACAGAGAATCTCGACTAACAACTCAATGGTCGAGTTTTCAATGAGGCCGATAGCCTTAGATCTTAATGCTTTAAAACTTTATTCCTATAATTTATTTATCTGGGTCAAATTTTATCTTTGGCTGTGCTCGGATTATTGCTGACACTAAAATTTGTGCAGCAGTTTTTTGGAAATATCTTCACATAATCAAAAGTTATAGATGAAAATATGGAAATGGAGATGGAAAAGTGGTCAGTGTTTTTTCGAGTTCGTGTCAGTTTCTTCTATATTATAGGCACGTTTGTTGACAAATCACACCCATTTCAAGGAATGTTTGTGCTTAACTTTTGCTTCCAATCATTATTTTTGTGACTCAGCTATTTCCAGAAAAATTACGATTCATATTTTGCTAGAAACAGTTATATGTTATCTAATTGATAGGCATTTAAAGGCGTTCTCATATAAATACCATTCGATAAAGAATTTTAGTAATTTAGTGTTATATGCCAATTCTGCGAAGCTCAAATGTTGCAGAAGGTGAAAGTGTCCAACGCGATAGTTCTAGAATTAATTAAGCGCAATATTTTATTTTTCCAATAAACTCCGCTAAATTTCTACAAACTTAGATGTTTGCTGATGTTGTTTTAAAATAGTGCGGCGGTTAATTATTTTTGGTGGTTTCTTATGCAGAAATTGTCCTCCTCAACTAAACAACTACGTCAACTTCGCTTATAAGTGGCTTAGGATGTTATTATTGTTTTTATAATTTATTAAGACCGAAGAAATAAAATCTAGGACTAAAATAGAAGAGGATAGTTAAGAGAGAATAGTTAAGACTATCGGCTCTCTTTCTATTTTGGAAGCATAAACTAAATGGTTAGTGTAGTCGCTTTAATAAAGTTAAATATTTAATAGATATTAAGCTCTTCAGGTACTTTCTATATACCAATTGGTTTAGCGCTTTTGCGAGCTGCAGGTGGAACACAAGGCAGGCGGACAGATGGACGGATGAACAGACAATAAACAACACGATATAATAAATGTTGGGTCTATCTCAAGTGCATCTCCGCAAGCTTACTATATCCTTGGACCAAAAGTGGCGTAATGATATAATAGACGACGAGGATAGTATATTGAAAACAAAGTTTTATAACAATGATTCATATGTACTTATAAGTTCATAGCTTTCGACAAACTACTAAATGCTTAAACTATGCCTTCATTTTCTTTTAACGAAGATTTTTAAGCATTCTTCAAAATATTATGGAAGAATTCCCTCCTTACCTTAAGCGAAGTTATTAAAGTGGAAAATTTTTGATTTTAGTTGAAAATTTCAATTACATATATATATACATACGCTTAGTTTTAACTAAAACTCGACAGATTTATGTTCACTATCAGAGAAAGTACCAAACATCTGCAGTATTTTTAAATTGAAAAGAAAATTCTTTGCGCACACAAACATCATTCAATCCATATTGCTCCACCACGATACGTATACATTGAAGAAAATTGATTGCATTTAGAAAAGAAAAATTGAATGAACAGAAAAGATAGTGAAAAAACAAGCGATTCTATTGTGCCCAACATCATAAGAGGAACAAAAAGTTGAAGGTACGGTAGACGATGTAGTAGTTTTCCTATTCACCGCATTCCTAACGGATTATTATCAAATTTGAATTTCATGCAAGTCTATCTGTCAAGTTATGGGAGTGTTGATAAAAGTACCATGCGTTGAACAAAACTTGAAATGAAAAACTGAAACTTTGTCACATACGTTCTTTGTTTGTTGATATGCTCAGGTGAGTTTAAATAATTGGCGTGATTCGTGCGCAAATTATTAACTGGCGAGTAATAATTGGCGAAAATTGGAAATTTTACGATTTTGCTGTTAATTATTTGAAAATTTTTGTACAATTTTATATAATTTATATTTTAGAACGCTGGACTTACTCTCATGACTGCAAATAGCAAAAGTCTTAATAGTAGTATAACTACGAGCCCGCTTTTTTTCGAATTTTTTTTTTTTTTTTTTTTTCTAATATGGCCACATTTGCTATTCAAAGTATTGCTCGTCGTTGGTCACTACTTTCTCGTCATCTGTTGGGCAACAAATTTGGTCCAAAAAACATGGCTACGTTTTGATAACTGTCTACTATAGGACGCACGTTATTTGTTGAATGCTAATTTCAGTAATTTGGCGACAAGGCCTAATCTTTACTATTTTATGATGAAAGTGATTGCTAAGGTACCAATTTGACAGATAAATATACTGTAATAAGTACAATATTTTGCAACCATTCAATAAGTGTCATGAACCTATAATCTCTTTTAGTTTATAAGCGAAGTAGGTAAAGAATTATTTCAGGCAAAAGCACGTAGGGCATAAAGTCTTGCCCGATAAATTGTACATAACACATCGCTTAACAAAGTCGTAGGATGGTATATAGATATCGCCAGACTGTTGTTTCACTGAAGCTTTTTATAAATTAACGATAACTGGCACGTGTAGACTAATGTTCCGAATATCATGAAGTTTGTAACATGTCGTTTGAAGATCTAATA